TGGGTCAAGTCGGACAGTAAGGCGCCGATCATCAACAATTCAAGCTGCCCGACTTTAAATGCCCGACATTTTATCCAATATTATTTTTTAAATAATAGATTTATAACATATTCGTTACTAGACCAGTATATAGATACTGTAACTAAAATATATATATATATATATATATATATTGCTATATATTACTCACCCCTACCTCTGAATAAGTCACTCCAAATTCACAGTTGTCGTGATTGAACTGAGTTAAAATATTAATTCTACTTCATTTTATAATAGTATTGTTTAATTCATAAACAGAAATAGCCATTTCTGTTTGTGAATTAATAAATGTAAACGCACCCCATTTGTAATGCTAGCAATACCAAGATCTTTATGTTGGTTTTAATATCCCGTAATATAATCTCCGTGACTTTACCATATAAAATATTGTACGGAATTATCCGACACCCTCGCCTCACATTATTCAGCATGACTCACAAGGGGTGACCAAGGGTATTGCACCCTTATTGGAACTAACCTGGGGTTGCACGGCCTTGGATCTCGTGGCAATTACTGCGAAATGGGATTTGAAATTATACTGTTTGTTTCTAAAATTGAGTCGTCTTTAATTATTCTATTGAGATAGTCATTTTTTTTAATGGATGATAATAAAATAGTAGCCTGTCTGTGTAACGGTAGATGCTTGCGAGGCACCAGTAAGTAATAAGTGAGAATGTAAAGGGAGGTCAGTTAGCCCATGGTGTCAAATATACCTGGAATTCAATACGAAAATTTCCAGAGGGAATCGCGGGGAGGTCGATCTAACAGAGTTAAGTATTTCTAATAAAGTAGCTCCATTACCAATAATCCCTTCTCCATTCATTTATTATGTTAAGTACTGTTATAATTGTAGCGGTCCCAGCGTGGGATTTTTAGTACAACATAAAATAGCAAACAAGCTGACGGCTCGCCTGATAGAAAGTGGTAACCTTCGCCTATACACATGAACAGTATCGTAGACATCACGTAATGCGTTGCTATTCCTGAGGTCTAAACTGTTATGCCTCCATACCCTGTAATTTCGCTATGGCTTCCAGAGTACTGATTGGACTAAGAACTTTCGAACTTCTATGCCTGTTCTATAAAGAATCTAAATTGAAAATATAACGTTAAAAAATTTATATTTCTACCCAAGAAAGGCTGTACAAATGTCGTCTGCATGAATACCTGGGCCCCATTCGTGATTCTGCTGTGAAGCAGTCATGTTAGCATAGTTGTATTTCAGTTTAAAGGGTGGGATATGGCAATGAAATTACAGGGTACAAAAGCATAAGTCCGCAACGTATAAAGGGTACTGTAGGCGACATAATATACTTTGTTATGTCCATGGTACTGCTCATGTCCATAGACGTCGGTCATCACTTTCTATCAGGTGGACCGTCAGATTTTTACCATTCTAAGTTGCATAAAAAATGTTAAAATAATTCAATCCAAATAAAAATAATTTATATGATTCTCGAACCCATATCGCTTCCCTAGAGGTTGTTTCCAAAACGTAATTTAATAGTCATTTTAACCTTGAAAATATAACAAACAGTATGGAGAGACAGACTCACTTTGCATTTATATTACTGAGACTGCTGCTAGTACATTTATATGTAGATATGTCATATATAATATTGTACAGAGATGAACACAAATAAACTTAATGTAGGTATATAATTATTTGTCATTAAATTTCAACAGCTGCTTTATCTGGCACAGTTTAAAACGTGTAACTGATAAGTATTCTGCAGTCGTGATGCAAAGTAAACCCGTTCCACATAACAAGTATTGAAAAATTTGAATATCAATATATAATACACATGTAGGTACGTACCTACTATCACGCTGTAAAGGATTATTGTCTGCACCGCACTGTTTTGTAAGAATAAACCCGGTTTATTCTGAACTCTGACAATGAACAGACCAGAGGGAAACTTTGTACAAAAGTCGATTGCTTGGGTACCTCTGTTCCATTCGTGTTTCAACCGTGAAGCAGTTGTGTTTGCATGGCTGTGTTTCGGTTTGAAGGGTGGGATATAGCGTGAATTTACTGGGTACAGAGGAATAACACCTGAGTCCTCAGGAATGGCAACGCATGGGGGGTATCATGGGCGAAACAGTATACTCTGTTATGTCCATGGTACTGCTCATGTCTATAGGCGACGGTTACCACTTTCCATCAGGTGGGCCGTCAGCTTGTTTGCCATTCTAAGTTGTATAAAAAAAAACATTCTTAGGATTTACTGGTTGAATATATGAGACCCGCAGCAGAGATCTGCAGCATTGTAATTAGGGGTTGGCTAGACGAGCGGGTGCCAGGCTTGTAACCCTCAGGAGGCATATTTTACCAACCCTCAGAATATTTACACAGCGCTAAGCCATATAAAAAAATTAGAATAGAAGGTTGACTTTGCAGACCACACTCGAATCTTCCCCCTTTGTTGTTTTTCTTTCAAGAAAATAAGTGTAGAGGGATGAAAAGTTCAAATCTTGCCAGGGGTACTCATGATTAGCTACAATGCTGAACATCAAGGCGAACAAAGTGACTACAGCCCTTGTGCATTGTCTCAACAAAAATTTGATTAAAAAAAACATATTATAAAAAAAAGAATAAAGACCTATAACAAACTTCGCATTCATCTTTTTTTTTTTAATTTACATTATTTTAATATAATGAAATGATAACTAGATGTTACCTGCACATAGGCGACATCGAATAAAAATGTAGGATGATATCAAGAGCAATAGAAGCTGAAACAATATTTTTTTTGTGTCTGTCTGTATATCTATTCTGACATCATGCAAGAACCCCAATTATGCAGTTTTCACAGTTATGTTATTAAAGGTCAAACTTAAAATGTGGTATATTCTGATAGACAATTCTAAAACCATGCATATGAATTTGTGACTAAAAGCTAGTAAAAATATAGCTTATAAAAGTAGAAAAGTGAATAAAAGATGTCTTAAAGAGATTGTTTTAGTGATAAATTGGCTTTTTGTATTCCATAATTGTAGATTCTTTTTGTATTATTCTATAAGTGGTACAATTAGGAGTAAATAAATTAAAAAAAAAACCACATAACCTCCTTCTTTCATCTTATTGCAGTATAATTGTTTTATGAGTTAGTGTCATAGTATTCACCCGACTCCACTTCACATACAACACGACTATACTTCCCTGAAGAAATTGATTAAGTAGCTGTACAGGGAAAAAGCACAACTTTTTACATCATCATCATCATATCAGCCGTTTACATATAATAACAAAATTCATTAAAATTTCCTTTGAGAAAAAAAATTTGCACTTAAGACGTTTTCAAACTGGTCAAAGGATATTTGGGAGTAAAAATCTTCTGGTTTGAAAATTTTATTCAAAAATTATTTAATTTTACTAAATAGATACATGAGTATACTAATTCATCCTACTCAAATTTGAACAAACTTTAACCTCAGAATACAATAACTACAATATATAGTTATTTAATACTCCTAGCTAAGCTTTGGTTATACAAATCAACTTTATGGGGTCAATAGGTAAATCTAGGGGTGGTTTATTGAACTACACAATACTAAGTAGCAATTTGGTGTGATTGTGCAGCATTTATTTTTTTTTATTTAATATTTTTAAAAATTTTAAATGATCAATTTTTACTTTTACAAAAGCATGCTTGCTATTTCAAAATTGATGTTAATTTTTAATAATAATAGATATATAATATTAGCACCCTTATATCATTATACATCATATATTATAGCAAAGGAATATAATAATAAATAAATAAATATTATTTTCTCTAAATGAAAAAAATAAATAAAAATATTAATGAATATATTTAATTACTTAAATGGATTTAGTTTTCATAAACATTTTTTTTAAATATATTTTTTTATAAACTATAATGATTCACAATTCACTATAACAACTTTAATACTTGTTTTTACTTCTTGGTCTCTTGACTCTGTCTTAACAAAAAATAAAAACCTTAAAGCATGGCCAATTATAGTTATATAGATTTTTTTAATTTTCTACCTATTTCTACTTAAAATGACATGTTTTCTATAATAATTACATATAAATAAACAAAGTTACATTTAATAAACAAACATGAAACATAAAATCACTTGTGATACTGGGGCATCACTGGACTAGTATTACAAGTTATTTGATAAATATTTATAATTTATTGTTTACTAATTATAGATAATAAGAAGCCAAAAAATGAACAAAACAGCTTTCATTAATATATATATTATTTATTGCACAAAAACATACAGTAACAACAATAAGTTAATAACAATGTTAGCAAAGGCGAACTTATCTCTAAAAGAGATTTCTTCCAGTCAACCTAACGCAGTGGCATTAATTATAATGAAATCCTTTAATTTTTTTAATACTGCATTCATATTGAAAACTAAAATCACAACCATTTCAATTTAATATAAACTAATATTTATGCAACTGAAACAAATTATCATTGTTCCAATAAAAATATGTACACATAATCAGCAATTCAACATAATTTTTTTATCAACAGATATGAATGACCAATATTTATTAAATCTTGTGATTATAAACAAATAGGTATATAAGTTTTTCGACACCTATACAGTATAAGTATAGAAATATTAACACACTGAAATGGTTTTAACAATATTTTTAATAAAAGTCCTAACACCAGTAGTCAAATAAACTATCACCTATTTATGTACACAACACATATTTTGATTGTTAAGATTTTATCCACTGCATCTATAACCAATAGGAAAACTTTATATTATGTGGCATTTTTCACACAAACTTAATCGACATCACCCTTGATGCAAGGGGAGGGCTGAACCCGGCCAAACCCGCATGTCTCTAATGAGACATGGTGCACAGTATGTATAACTTACCCTACCTATTTATTTACTTTATGTTGGTAAAATAATATATTTAAACAAAAAAAAAGTAAAAACTTAGTATTGCTAGTAAATACCTTAAGAGTCCTGGAGAACGCAGAAAAACCGGGGAAATCAAGTGCCGAAGAGTCGGAGCAAATCCTTACACAAGCACAAACTAAAATTTTACCAATTTAATCACACTGCCACTGAAGACCCACTATTTTGGGTACAAAAATTAACACGGTAAATTTTAACACTAGTAAATTATGTCATAAAACGTTCAATAATACAATTGTGAACTGAAAAACATCTAGCATTTCCCCAGTAAAAACAGCCACATTAAAGACAACCACCAATACAAAAATCTTTATTAAACTGATTGAAAGAAAAATTCACGCGTGATGGCGCCACTGACGATTTTAGCGCAGGCGCTGTCAAAATGTTAATTATCTATCTGTACACGCTCTCACAATATTATTTTAATGAAAAAGAACATGTCTTTCTTCTCTGCCGTAAAAATATAAAAAATAATGCATTTGACTCCCAGTAATTGAATATTTATAAGTACAGTACTATTCTTTATTCACACTTTTATTGAAAGCCTTATTCAATTATATAAGTAATTTTCTTAATCTATGTACAACCTTCAAAATACACTTTACAATTTACACCAGGCCCGTATCACTTTAAATAGAAAAATATTTGTACTAAACCTATGCAACCAGTTGATAAAATTTGCAAATTATACACAAAAAGGAATTAAGTCTTTTATAATACCTAAACTTATTGATAAGAATATTTTTAATAGATATATATAGCAAATACTTCTACAACACTATTAATATTAATTTTGTATACTTGATACTTTTAAGTGGTGGCATGGTACTATTTTCTAACTTAGCCAATATACAGTGCCAACTCTTGAAGTACACATTCTGGTTGACAGTTTAAAACACATACGGACTTTTATTCATGTTTACTATTTTATTTTCTTTAAGTATTTTTTTCTGAATATTATTAGTCTTTAAAAAGAAATACAATATAGCCCTATCGTAACGTAATTCATAAAACCTGTACACAATAGAATACACTTAGGTTGCTAACAATATTATTTCTATTTTGTAAATTTATTTTGTGTTAAAATGTTAGAACAAGTTAAACGCATTATTCTAGTTTTATCAGGAAAAGGAGGTGTTGGAAAATCTACAGTTAGTACTCAGTTAGCGCTTACACTCAGAGAAAAAGGATATAAGGTAAATTTATTTGCTATAGTTGCAAATATGAATATAAATTTAGAAGATTATAGATTACAAAGTCAGATAAGATCAATATCACATATATAATGAACCTGTAGCTTATGAAATCGCCAATGATTTACTTTTAGTAAAATATCTTTTCAGGTTACCTAAACATATTACATTATGTAAGCAAATAAGATATCTTTCTATGGCCTATTTTCTTTTAAGATAACACCATAGCAACACTTAAAATAAAATTAATCTGTGTGACTCAATTCCTTATTTCTACACATTACATGTACATAAAATAATGTTTTATTAATAAATTATAATTAAACTTTCTAAGCTGCCATGTGGTCCCGGCATAGAAAAGGCCACCCCTTCCTTTCCCATGGGTGTCATAAGAGTCGACTAAGGGATCGCAAGGGATGGGCGGCAGCGTTCCTCTTAAAACACCTCTAAAAGCCTAACTACAGTTGCCAACCCGCCTGCCAAGCATGGTAACTACTGGCAAAACTCCTCTTATGGGAAAGGCTTATGTTCAGCAGTGTACAGTTATGGGCTGAAATAATAATAAAAAATAAATACTTTGTAAGGATTATGTGTATTTTCTTTTTAGAAAAACAATTTCAATACTTATTAGCATTATTACAAAAGTACATGTCTATGTCACACTTTATTACAATATACCTATGACTGACAAGTTTTACATTTCACTTAAACACTTGAACCTAAATGGTCAAACAGTGCAGTATTAAAGGAAATTTGTTTTTTTAACTGTCATGATTTTCCCTAGAGACTGCAATATGGATTTCTTCAAAAAGGATATATTAAAGTTTCTTCAGGTTCGCCAAAGCACATGTGACACCCCTAGTGTTGCAAGTGTTCATAGGCTACAATGACCGTTCACCATCAGATGGGCTGTATGCTACTTTGTTACCTTTGTGGTATAAAATATATATTGCAACAATAATCATTAACCATTTTAGTGCCGGGAGCCGATATAACGGCTCCTGCTACACTTGCGAAAAGTGCCAGGGCCGATATTGGCTGGCGCCATGTAGCGGTTTACTACTCGCATTGCGGGAGAACTATCTCAAAATAAATTTGTAATGCGTTATAAATGATCTAATTTCATAACAAGAAAATTAAAAAAAATATTTTTTGTTTGAACTCTTTGTGGACAATGTTTTTCCTATCCTTTGTAAAACTGTGAAATTCGGCCAGTTTTTTTTCGTATAGGCACCTCTATTTCGCCACTAATAGGGTAAAGTTACTAATTAAAATACTATTTCTTATTTCCAGATTGGTTTACTTGATGTTGACCTATGTGGACCCAGTGTGCCATACCTGTTAAATTTAGAAGGCCAAAACATACATCAGGGAAATGATGGATGGATACCAGTATATCTTGACAATGAACAGAAATTAGGAGTTATGTCTATAGGGTTTTTATTGAACTCACGAAATGATGCTGTAGTGTGGAGGGGTCCAAAAAAAACCTCCATGATCAAACAGTTCCTAGAAGATGTTTGCTGGCAAGAATTGGATTTTCTCATCATTGACACTCCACCTGGTAATATTCTTAAGTTTTGTACATTATATACATTTATCAGAGGGGATAAAATGGAAAAAAGGAGAAAATTAGCTGGAGGGATCGAATTAGCAATATGGAGGCCCTACTTAGGGTTAAGGAAAAAAGACAAATTATTAGAACTATTGAGGACAGAAGGGAAAAAATGTTAGGACACTTAATACGACACGACGAACTTATGAACATTATAATAGAGGGTAAGATAGAAGGAAGGAGTCGTATCAAGAGGTGAAGAGACTCGCTGAAAATCGTAGTGAGTGGCAAGAGCTCCACCGACAAGAGCGCAGCTCTTAAATAGATAGATAGATAGATATCAGAGGGGAAATTTTTTACAAAGATATTTCCATAGGCACCTCCCACTGGTGTTACTGTGATCAATCAATTCTTGCATATCTGTATTGATGAAAACTATCATTGTCAATTCTTGATGGATTCATCATGATGGGCTAACTGGCCCGTTTTCATTGTCATCGATCACCCTTCACTGGTGCCCCGCCAGCGTATCCCATTAGTGCAGACGCGATTACCATTCCATTATAACCCATCAAAAAAAAATTCTAACTTACATAAAAAATACCCCTACACAGATCGGCCATTAAAAACATAATAAAAATTCTAGGTACATCGGACGAACATATTACTGTGATGGAGAATTTACGACAAATACCTCATTGCTCGGCAATAATTGTGACAACACCGCAACAAGTCGCCATTGAAGATGTGAGGAAAGAAATTACCTTTTGCAGAAAGACAGGCATACCAATCATGGGTATCATTGAGAATATGAGTGGGTAAGTTTGAATTTAACTTGAACGATTTAGTCATTATAGTATTAGAAGGAAGGAAGGGAAGAGGGAGACTGAGACATAGTTACATCAGGCAGATCAAGGAAGGAGTTGGTGTCGGGTCGTATCAAGAGGTGAAGAGACTCGCTGAAAATCGTAGTGAGTGATAAGAGCTCCACCGACAAGAGCGCAGCTCTTAGATAGATTGATAAATAGTATATTCACCAAAGGGTAACTTCCATAAGTTGGGTAAAGTGGCATAATGCCTTAGTCCTCAAGAATGGCAACACTAGTACTAATTGCATAGCAGTATACTCTGTGATCTATGATTCTGTTCATGTCTAGAGACGATGGATACCTCTTTTCATCAGATGAGCAGCTAACTTGTATGCCAATCCAAATTACATGTAAAAAGGAGAGATATATATATATATATATATATATATATATATATATATATATATATATATATATATATATATATATATATATATATATATATATATATATATATATATATATATTATTTTTTGTGCTATTTATAAATGAGCAATTCTAAAAAAATGCCAATATCATTTGCTAAACGTGCCATGTATGAAAACACAGATAGTACAACCACGAAGGTCAGTGGCTTGGAATTACAGTGTACTTTTATCTTTACTAGGCCTATTATAAAATACTGTTTACTAGAAAAAATTAATTTAATTCTAAACATAATGGAATGCCAATAACTGTGGGACGTTCCATGCTGCATAGAGTTATAAATATATCTGGATATGAATACTATTATAGATTATTACCAAAGTACCATTAAAGCTAATGTTGGTAATCCTAAATAAATAAATAAAAAACCAGGTCGACCTTCTCGCGTTAATACCTGATGAATTCATCATGATAGGCTAACTGGCCTGTTTTCATTCTCGTCGATCACCCTTCACTGGTGCTCCGCCAGGGTATCCCGTTAGCGTAGGCGGGGTTACCATACAAATTTCAACCATAAAAAAAAAACGCAGCGTAGGACGACCCCCCACTAGATAAAATGACGACCTGAAATGCATTGCAAGGAGTCAGTCACTGGGGACCGTTCTTTATGGCAGTCTATGGAGGAGACTTATGTTCAGCAGTGGAGGGATAACGGCTGAAATGATGAAGGGACATTACTCTTTTACAATTTGATATTTTCAACTGTCTTCATAAAAAGGAGAAAGTTCTCAATTCAGTGATATTTTTTTTAACATTTGTTATTACATAACTCCATCAGTTGTAAACAGATAATAAAACCCTTTTTTTATCGGAAAGCATACTTTATAATACTTTTTGATTGGTCACATAGAAATTTTATGAAAGTGGATTCAGTACTAATCAAAATAAATTGTGTTGCCACAATTAAAGTCGTGTTTTTTATAAGACATTCTTCAATTTTAAATGATAATTAGTACTATTAAGGTGCTAAATTGATGATTAACACACTAAATATTAATATATTTAATTTTTGTAATGTAAATGTGCCAAATACGTAGATGATTTTAAGAAATTTTATATTAATATAAATTAATTTAAATGAAATTTAAATAATATAAATGGTCTCTTCAAGATCCAGAGGGAGACTTTGTACAAAAGTCGATGCTTGGGTACCTCTGTCCCATTCGTGTTTCAACCGTGAAGCAGTCGTGTTTGCATGGTTGTGTTTCGGTTTGAAGGGTGGGATATGGCGTGAATTTACTGGGTACAGAGGAATAACACCTGAGTCCTCAGGAATGGCAACGCATAGGGGGTATCATGGGCGAAACAGTATACTCTGTTATGTCCATGTTCATATTCCATCAAGTGGGCCGTCAGCTTGTTTGCCATTCTAAGTTGTATAAACAAAAAAAAAAATCCGCCAAAAAGTAACATTAACAAGCATTGTACAAAGTTTTATTGTACAATAAGGGATAAATAATAATACGTAAACGATCCTTCTTAACTCCCGCATGGGATACAAATAACAAAATATACCATATACCATATATCCATTAAAATAAATTTAAACAAAAATGTCTATATCTTTTCCATTCCAGCTACGAATGTCCAGTTTGCAGTGAATGCACCAACATATTCTCCAGTGGTGGAGGAAAGTCACTGGCAGAAATCTCGAAGATTCCATTTCTAGGCAGTTTACCTATAGACCCAAGAGTTGGTAAACTGGCCGGCCGAGGGGTTGCCGCCATCAAAGAGTTACCAGATTCCAAAACGAGCCAAGTCTTCAATGAACTCGTCACACAATTATCGGAACAGTCAAATGGTGCGTAAAAATATTGTATATGGAATAAGTATATTTAATTAATTGATATTTAAATATATATTGATAAAAGTGATAATTATGCAAATAAGTGTATTGTTATATGACTATTAAAAAAATAAATTATCTACCATTTTAATAAAATTGGTTTAACTATCCTCTTCTCCACATAGGAGATAAATCCATGCTAAACAGTGAGATCTTAGTACAAAGTATACCAGAGAAAGACTTTATATAACATTCATTGCATAGGGTATCTCTATCCCATTTATGTTTAAGCAGTGAATGACTTTTTTTTAAATTTTTTCTTTAATACAACTTAGAATGGCAAACAAGCTGACGGCCCACCTGATGGAAAGTGGTATTCTATTTTGAAAAGTGGAATCCTCATCATCGTGATGATTATCACATTCAGACATTATCTGTCCATTACCGAACATACACCTCCTCCATAGACTACCATAAGGAGCGATCTTGAGCCACCTACTCCCATCCACATCTACATCCATCACCAGAGGGAGACTTTGTACAAAAATCGCTTGCTTGGGCACCTCTGTCCCATTCGTGTTTCAACCGTAAAGCAGTTGTGTTTGCATGGCTGTGTTTCGGTTTGAAGGGTGGGATTTGGCGTGAATTTACTGGGTACGGAGGAATAACACCTGAGTCCTCAGGAATGGCAACGCATGAGGGGTATCATGGGCTAAACAGTATACTCTGTTATGTCCATGGTACTGCTCATGTCCATAGGCGACGGTTACCACTTTCCATCAGGTGGGCCGTCAGCTTGTTTACCATTCTAAGTTGTATAAAAAAAAACATCCACTAACTCCCGGCAATGTGAAAAGGTGGAAAATATCAGTGAAATTACATGATACAGAAATATAACACCGTAGTCCAGATTGTTATAGTATATTATGTGAAATCTATGGTACTGTTTATAGTGCTTATATCTATATTATTGTGACCACTTTCCATCAACCTATTTGTCATTGCCAGTAGCATAAAATTTTTTTTTTTTTTAATATCTATAAAAATATTCGTTCAAAGGAGTAGGTACTAGTTGCATGCATTATTAGGCACGAGTTGTACACAATATATATATAATATACATATACATAGTATTATATATATATATATACATATACATAGTATTATATATATATATATACATATACATAGTATTATATATATATATATACATATACATAGTATTATATATATATATATATACATATACATAGTATTATATATATATATATATATACACCAAATAAAACCACTTTTTCCCTTAAAATTTATTCACTATTGTCACATTCAAAATCTAAAAATGCATTGTTGTAAATCTAATGATAGTAATACCTATTTTAAAATATAATTAAGTAGTAAATATAATCTTGATTGTATATATAATATTAAAATTCGTAAATACTCTGATTTTTTATATAATATGAGATTCCCAAAAGAATTCTGTTAGTTAATATATTAGCAAAGCTAATGTAGGTACCTCTTAAATTATATAGATAGAGTGTCTCCATACAAATGCTTCGAGGAAAGCGTGTCAACTTTTTCCATACAATTTTGCGTAATAAATAGTTACGGGTGATTTCTTTATAACTTCTGTATTTGTCTTATAAATTATGCATCTTTTTAATACGCAATAACTTATTTTATTTATTAAATAATTAAATATAAATATATCAAAATACATTCTGTTTGTAAATATATAGAACACTGATAAAAAATGAGTTAGCTAATTTGACAATTAGCTGACAGAAAGTTGACCCGTTTTTGACACTCGATTCTCTATCTATGTAATCTAAGAGGTTCTTATACTTGATATAAAATTTACTTTGTTTAAAATTCATTATTATACATCACGTAGAGAGAAATGAGAGTAGCAGAAAAGGTCTTAGTTAAACTATAATGAAAGAACTCATTATAATAATTATATATATAATTAATTGTTATTTTCGTTATCTATCCCAATAATGAAGTCCGCGTTCGTGACTCACTGTCCATCCCAAAGGTTGACTGGTAGAGCATGCTACTAGCATTAAGTCCGCCTTTTGTACCATATTTTGGTCAATAAAGTTGTTTAAATAAATAAATAGACTTTATTACGTATTCAAACATCATTTCGTCACTAAAAAAAAAATTTACAAGCTTACAAGATTGCCAGTCATTATAATTTTATTAAATAATAACTTTTTTTAAAGGAACTATATGTCTTAAAAATATCTACGAAAATAGACACCCTACAGTTGTCTAAATAGACTACTGTGATCATCGAAGATATTAAACGTGCAGGATAAACATACTAATATAATAATGCGAAAGAGTTTATTTGTTTGAATACACTAATCTCCATATCCGAAAAATTGTTTTTGCATTTACTTTGTTCATTTGAGGAAATCCATAGGCTATCGTATATATAGTAGCCGAAACCACGGTATACTACTAGTAAGATATAAATATACTGAACAGTACAGAAAATATAGTTTCAAAAACTTTCAAATAAATATGAACTAATGAAAAAAAAAACTTAGCTACCGTACTATTTGCTCCAATTTTTTAACGATAAAATGTTGCTTAGAATATGCTACTAAAAGCTTCAAAGTCGCAACCAAATGCACTGTATAACCTATATCTTTGGAAGAAATGCGGTAAGTATACATAACTTTCCTATTATCTATTAATATAATTATACTATAAAATAGTAAATAGCTTCCTGTATGGTTTTTTTTTCTATAATTTTACCTATAGCTGCCCACAACAGTACAATTATTTCATTAAAAAAAAACATAACCATAGTCAAATAAATGCTATGTAAGCGAAGTCACAATTATTAACTAGTTCATTCTTAAGTTTGACACGTTGAGATTCGATAATAATATCATGGGCATAGACAAATTGGAGTAGGGCACTCCCATCTGCCAATAATCTATACAAAAAAAAATATCCTAATACAAATACACCATAGATTTTGTATATTATGATAACCATAAAAATAAGGGTTAACTATTCGTATGCTATAATATAATGACAAAGAGATGGTACTAACAAACCTACACGTATACTGTTGTAAATTTATCACATATATTTCTATGTGAATACGTATGCATCCAAAAAATGCTAGTATTTGGCACAAAATTTGGTCTTTACAGCACCTGGGTATTATACTAATTTCCAAATCATCAAAAACCAAATATTTTCGCTTTTCCCGCGTAAAAAAGGCAGCGGATTCTTATTTCTCGTAAGGTTAGCTAAATTTCTCACTTGCTTTTTTTATAACGATTTTATGTTGAAATTGAACATAAACTGTTTTTTTTTTTTGTTTATCATGATATCATTATTAAATATAATATTAATAAAAACTTATTTATCACACATCGTCGCAGGACCTACTTCCACATTCACTGGTTACTCGTTTTTGAAAAAAAGTACTTACCCTGTTAGACAAGTAGTAAACAAATACGTTTTCATACACACTCGCATAAATATAAAAATAATCACAATATGTATAATTGAAGATTTTATTATATTTTATACCACAAAAAAGAAACCAACATCAGTAACTTTAAAAACTGACCTACTGAACAGCGCAGTTAGGCTCGCGCTTGCGTCATAGCTGCTCATGATTAAGGGTCACGAATTGATCCCGAAACTAGTGAGCTTTGTCTATCTAATTACACGTAGGTTAAAACTTTATTTGCCATTTATCTGAAGGAAGTTAAAATTAAAAAGATTCTAAAATCTCTGCGTTAGATACAAAGTTAAAAATGGAACAACATGTTATCTTGCTCACGTTCCAATTTATTTAAAATAGTAATAAGAACATAGTCTACCCATAAACTGTACCTACAAATATAAAAACACAGTCAGATCGTATCATTATTATATCTACTTAATTAATTTGGACTCTAATTCATTAACTGTAAGACACATTATTCGGCTCATGCCGTGTTACTCTGTTGGTTATCTTCACTCAGCCACATGAACTGGCGGATCTCTTCTTCGGACGAGGGGCAGCAATGCGGTGGTGCCTTCTGAAGAATGTTACGAAGCTCCTGAGGAAGTGTTACTATAATTTATTTTATATTTTATCCAACTTCATTCAATTTATTTATATTGAAATACAACATTGCTATTTATTGCAATAATTATGTTTTATGGCAATATTCTAGTAACATGGCAACATCGTAGCCGCCATTTTAACGATTAAGGTAGTTAGATAATATTGTTTTTTGTTTGGAATCCGTTCTTTAAATATTTCACATTATTTAAAAAATTTGTTATAATAACATTTATTTCTACATAAAAGTATAAGAAATAATAAACAATTAAATTAAAAAAAGGTGTTTATGTTACTTTACTGAACAATATGTATCATTATTTTGTCATTATTTTTTAATTACAATTTCGAAAAATGGATTATTCACTACATAGGACAAATATAAAAACAGATTACTTATAGTAGATATTTCTTTGTAAATTATATGTGAAATTAAGATTGTTTGGTCCGATTATTTAATGAGATTAAAAATAAAATGTAAAAGTATCGAATATTTGTTATTTTATCAAGAAAAGAAAAGGACCATTGTTATTTCAAATATAAAGTTCAATGACCCTCTTATAACTAAATTAATAATGCCACAAATATTAATATTTTTCTAAATATATGAAATATTAGTCTCTAAATTATTATGGATAGTTAAAAATGTTAGACAACTATATGGTTGCAAAAATTTATGATAAATAAATGTCTTTTTTTTTTAATGAAATTTCTTTTGTGTCAATAACTTTCAATTTTTAAAAGATATATAAAAACTCTATGGTATTGCAATCAATTTTTTGCCTTATTAAACTATCCATAATGTATCTACAATGGTCCAATTCATTCTTACGTAGATATTCAGCAAATGGCGGTAGGTATACTATGATTCGTGCGCGTATTGGCTCGCATCAGAGTACACGTCCAGCTATGTACAAACCCCAACAATCATGAGCCACTTGTCCCTCTGTAGCCGTCCGTGGATTGAACGTTTTAATTTCTGGGGAAGAGCAAGTGACACTTGTGGGCAGGCGCGTAGACAGGAGGGGTGATTTGAGAAATTAAAATTATTAAACTAATTATCCTGCTAATTAAATTACCTAAAGATATTACGGCTGCACAGATATGAATGAAATTTTGGTACACAAATGGGTAAATGAGTGGAATGGACTACATGGTAGGCTAGTTTAAATTGCATATATGGTAATCATATAGCCCCGTCTTTAAATTTTTAATCATTACAAATACCTTCACTTCTGTGAGCGTTTTTCTTTATGCAACTTAAAATGGGAAACAAGCTGACGGGCCACCTGATGATAACACAGTATACTGTTTCGCCCATGATACCCCCCATGCGTTGCCATTCCTGAGGACTAAGGTATTATGCCTCTATACTTTAAAAATTCCCAGCCATATCTTACCCTTCAAACCGAAAATAATCTATAAATTTTAAACTATCGAACAAACCACACCGTAAAGGGAAAATAGTGCTTTGTTTGCACCACTCACATATACATGTATGTAAAAATAACAAAAATAATCATTATACATAAGTATTTGACAGTTTGTATGAGCGTAATTGTCTGCACCATGTTACCCTGTGTGTATCTTTTTAAATCCGCCCATCCACGACTACGAGCCTGCCCACGGGTGTTATGACGATAGATGTATAGTTAATTTTGACAGAACTTAATGAAAACCAAAACAAATTTATAACTGCTAATGTCCAATAGTAGAACAAATAAAAAATTAATTAATTGATCGTATGTGTTGAGAAAGCAATCCACACATTTCTTAATATGGCAACTTTATTAGTCTATGTTTGATGTATGTAGAGTGATGCTCTCTGGTTGCTGTCTGGTAATTTTAAAAAAAGAAATATGTCACCTCTAATGAATTTTTAACAGTTTCTACCGTGAAGCAGTTGTGTTTGCATGGCTGTGTTTCGGTTTGAAGGGTGGAATATGGCGTGAATTTACAGGGTGCAGAGGAATAACACCCGAGTCCTCAGGAATGGCAACGCATGAGGGGTATCATGGGCGAAACAGTATACTTTGTTATGTCCATGGTACTGCTTATGTCTATAGGCGACAGTTACCACTTTCCATCAGGTGGGCCGTCAGCTTGTTTGCCATTTTAAGTTGTATAAAAAAAATACATTGTATAACTTAAAAATATATAAATATGAATAATGTGTCTAAATATTACAATAAATACTCTGCTAAATTACTTCAAAATAAAATTATGTATCATTTTGTAGTTATGAAGAGAGTGTTGTACAAAACTTGGTCACCTTTTCATTAAGCTCTGTTAAAACATACTATGCAAATAATTTAGAGTCAAGATTCAGATGAATATTCTATATTTATAATCAATTGGTTGAGAAAATAAGTAATAAATTTTTAAATTAATTCTACAATACGACTTTTAATAATGTGAATAAGTAGGTACTATTTACGAGAAATTAATTTATGTTCTTTTTTATTTATTTTAAACATATGTAAAAGAAGCTAGTCAACAAAAATAAAAGTACCCGCATATACTATTGGATTCATCCAAATCTCGCTTTAAATTCTCTTAAACTATACAAAAAAAAACTTATTCTATAAAAGTACTTGTACAAAAGTATCATCACAGTCTTCCCATGATATTTAAAAATATTTTTTTGATAATTATTATTCATAAATGAAATTAGATTGTTCATATAAAAATATATTCTTAGTAAAAATTAAAATGCCATTAGCCATTTGAAACACTTTTGTCTTCGACTGTACATGTAAGGCCCATCGCGCATCTAAACGAAGTTGAGCCTAGTTTTGCTGACTGCGATTAAACATGTGAGGAGCCTTAGAAACAGAATCCTAATCTACAAATACTCACGTTCATAGCATTTCTGTTCTTCTGCGCGGCCACTATGTGGTTCACTACAGGCGCTGGGTAATTCTTGCCAATAACACAATCTGCTCGTTCTTGCACGTCTATTGGCGCTTTCCACGGCTCGTATCTGTAAAGAATCATTAACAAAAATGACGTGTCTAATTATGTAGAAATTATTATAAGAAACTCAAAGAAGGAATGTATATTTCCCTCGGTTAATTCAGAACCGGTTTTAGAAGATGTTCAAGTATTATGTAACGCAATTTGAGAGGGGGGGGGGGTCGTGTAAAACGTTACAATGCCTTACAAGGACTTTTTTTAATTAAATAAAAAACTAGGTAATTAAAATCTTTCAAGTTGGCAACACTTTTTAAGTTTTATGGGAAATCCCTCGACTGTAGTGTAAGTACGTCATTTTTACTTTGTTTTATTAGTCAGTATTCGTGTTTCATTTTTAGTGAAAAATACCCATTTAGGTTTTACGTAACTTTTATGGGGAAGAGAGGTACAGAAAAATGTTAAGGCGTGTTACATGGAGGAGCGAGAGGGTCAAAAATCTTCAAAAATTGCATTATACAATACATGAATGACCCCTTAGAAAGAAGTAGATAATGTGTCTTAGCGTATCTATATTTAATTATTTAATAAATAAAATGAGTTTTTACGCATTAAAAAGATACAAAAACTATAAAACAAAATATGTATATATATAAAAGTTATAAAGAAAACATTCATAACTATTTATCACGCAAAATTGTATGAAAAAGTTGACCCGCTTTTCTCAAAGTATTTGTATGGAGACACTGTCTATATAATCTGACGGATAAGTTGTACTTTTTTTATGGATGATAATGGAATGGTAACCCCGCTTGCGGTAACGGTATACGCTGTTAGGGCACCAGTGATGGATGATAGGTGAGGATAAAAAGGCAGGTCAGTTAGCCCATCGTGATGAATACACCTGGAATTTCAGCACGATAGTTTTCAGGGGGGGACCACGTGAAGGTTGACCTACTCACATGTACTGTACGGGCATACGGCTGAGCTCGGGCACGTAGCGGCGCACGTACTCGCCGCTGGGGTCGAGCCGCTGCCCCAGCCGCACGGGGCACGCGCACTCGCCGGAATCGAGCAGCGCTTCGAACGCACTCGACGACACCCACATCCAGTTGCCCGCGCACACAGACCTAACATACATGTATATATTAGGAATATCTGGAGTCGGGTTAAATACCTTTATTATATTTTTATATGTTAGCACACTAGGTTTATGACATTGTTTTGATTTTTGCTGTCATAATGTTATAATTAGTTTTAATGAATAAATAAAAAAAAAATAGAATATTTAAAATGCTGAAAAAAAAGTATTGAAGTTGATCCTTGAATAATGCTAAAGAAAGTATTGTTGTTGAACATTTAAAATAATTAAAAAAAAAAAACTAAAAAAGTGTTATTGCCGGAAATTGAGAATAATCTTTCGAATTCTTAAAAAAGAGTATTGTTGTTAGAACTTAAAAGTAATTTTTGGGATGCTAAAGAAAAAGTGTTGTTGTTGAAACTTGAAAATAATTTTTGGAATGCTAAAGAGAAAGTATTAGGATAGCAACACCCGTGACTTTCCATTGCCTCCCATATCGTCATAGTCGTAGAATACTGACGGATCTTTATATGTAATCTTTGTCAGATCCGTCAGTATTCTACGACTATGACGATATGTTAAATCCGGATTATAAAGAACGAAAGTTAAGAAAAAGTAAAGAAAGGAAATGCGCGGTCAGGCGCTTTGGACACCCAGACAAAGGGCTGGCAGTGGTAGTAATCCAACAAAACAAGGTCTTATGATATTTCACACATTATCCCCATAAAAAATTAGATGAGCATAGGAGCTAAACTCACCAATCAGCATCAAGCAAGTACTTGAGGAAGTGGTTGAGGCCGTGTTCCCACGAGAGCCACAGGGTTCCCCTAGTGAGGAAGGAGGCGACGGTGTTCCGTACCGCGTGATGGAGCCAGCCCTCGGTGCGGAGCTGACGCATCGCCGCGTCCACGAATGGGAAACCAGTGCGACCCTCGGTCCATCTAACCGACGGCAGTATATAATGGTTATACTCCCTTATTCATAAAAAATAAACCTTCTACAAACCTATTTTAACTATTACACTGTTTTGTCACTTTCATTCAAATTGAGAATTTAGCACAAAAAAAGGGACAACAGTTCAATAGCTAAAATAGGTTTATGTATGACGTATGACATTTTTATTAATAAGAGCGAGTCTGTTACAATAGAACTTAACTCCTAAATTTGCCCTGTCCAGATTATACCCAATAAATTGACACTCGACTGACAAAAATAATCAAATTTTGTTAAAATTATAGCAAAAAACTTTTTCTAAATAAAATTACTAATAAAATCGTAATATTTAAACAATTTTTATCAAATCAATTATTAATTTGTTCACATTTTTTATTCAATTGTACATAAAGATACAATACACTGACATCCTCCTGCACATTTTGTGTTTCTTAATTTATACATTATAAGTAAGTCAGTTTAGAAGAGATTCACTTTCTAAATTAACCCAACCGAGATTAAACCAAATAAATTGGAATGAAAAATATCTACCTCTGCAACTCGTCACCTTCCGGATTCTTCCACGGGATATCCAAACAAATAGGATTGCCAGCCATCTGTCCGTAGTTAGGGTTGTTCACACTCATCGTGTAGAAATATTCCCGCCATATTAATTGACCTGCATATATTTTATATTAAAACCCACAATTGCTGCCCACTTTATCATAATTTACATGGAAAAACATTAAAACAGGTCATGTTTGTCATATATAATACAATTCCGGCATGAATAAAGGAAGAAGATATATTAAAAAAAAAAAGGAAAAACGTTGCGACTCTGGCACCAAGAGTTCCATACATAGATAAATCTGTAAAGAAAGAATAGAAAATAAAAGAAGATTTGAAATTGTGAGATAATATAAATAATATGATATAGGTACCTATAGAAGAAACTGAAACCTACTGTGAGTATAATACGAAGAAAGGCATGGTTGAGAATATGGGGCTCAATACAAAAATAAAAAAGAAACATAGACATACACATAATTAAAAATAATATATACCACACTCACACTATCACACCAAATCTATGGAATTGTAAAATGGACGATAATGGAATGGTAATTCCACTTGCGCTATCAGTTTACACCGTCGGACACCAAGGATGATAGAGCAAGATGAGAGCACCTGCTCTGTTCACCCATTATGACAAATTCACCAGGACACCACATTAATTTCCGGAGAGAACTGCGTGAAAGTCGTTCTAACAGAGTATATAAGTAGTATTGAAAACATTTTTTTTATGTAACTTAGAATAACAAACAAGCTGACGAACCACCTGATGGAAAGTGGTAATCGTCGCCTTTAGGCTATGGACAGAGTATACTGTATCGCTCATTGTATCCTTCATTCACTGCCATTCTTGAGGAATAAAATGTTACGCCTCTATACCCTGTAATGTAATTGGCATACTCCACTCTTCAAACCGAAACACAGCCAAGCAAACACACTTGCTTCACGGCAGAAACATGAATCGGACAGTGGTACCCAAGCAGACGACGTTTGTATAAAGTCTCCCTTTCTTAACAATCTTCTCCCCTTGCTTCAGGTTCTTGCAAGCTCGGACTAATATAGCTTTTTATGTAACTGAGAATAGCAAACATGCTGACGGCCCACCTGACGGAAAGTAATAATAGTCGCCTACAGACATGAACAGTACTATGTATATAATAGAGTATACTGTTTCGTCCATGTTACTCCCCATGCGTTGCCATTCCTGAGGACTCAGGTGTTACTCAGTACCCTGTAAATTCACTGCCATATCCCGAACACAGCCATGCAAACACAACTGCTTCACGGCAAAAACACGATTGGGATAGAGGTGCCCAAGCAAACGACTTTTGTACACAGTCACTCTCTGGTAAATCTTAATAGGACGTGAGCTATAAACGCACTAGAATAATGACATTTATTCTTTTGGTTTGACACCAAAGCCATACAAAATTATCATCAAACTTTTAGATACTTTACCTGTAATAAAATGAGTAGCTGCCAGACGTCCTTGGTGGACCTTATGGAATAGATCTTGAACACTCCAATAAAACCTAAAACAGAAATATATGGCTTAGTACTTAATCTGCCTCTGTATAGTTAACTGTTGGATGGAATCATGAGTTTAGAAGATTATAAATTATATCGTGAAGCAGAGACTAGAGTCTTAGATTAACGCAAATGTTTTTAAAACGCAGAAGCCAAAAATTACTGCAAAATAATTATTAAATCCCTTTTTTAACCGCTGGCATCCCTTACTAACCCGTGAAGGAGGTGCAATTTAGGATTACCATACAAAATTAAGATGTATGTGTATTTCTGTGTTTTTAGAGAATTGAAATCGAATTAATTACTTATTTTTTTCTTTTTGTGTGTCTGTGATATTAAAGTTTGTTAATCTCACCTCCTGACAGATAAACATCCAAATCGCAGCGCTGGACTCAAAGATATGGGGGGCCCGAGAAGGTCAGGATTCCCGTGTGTTGGCAAGTAGGAGCCCCTGGAATAATATACATATCAATAAATTAACAATTTTCTGTTCTAATATATTTTTTTTATACAACTTAGAATGACAAACAAGTTGACGGCCCACCCGATGGAAAGTGGTAACCGTCGCCTATAGACATGAGCAGTACCATGGACATAACAGAGTATACTGTTTCGCCTATGATACCCCCCATGCGTTGCCATTCCTGAGGACTCAGGTGTTATTCCTCTGTACCCTGTAAATTCACGCCATATCCCACCCTTCAAACCGAAACACAGCCATGCAAACACAACTGTTTCACGATAGAAACACGAATCACGCAATCGACTTTTGTACAAAGTCTCCCTCTGGTAACTTTGTTTTGTCTGATTTTGAATCTTATGTTTGCCTGATTTGTTTTGAAGTATGATAATGAGTTGCTAAATGGTCGAAGGACGGGCAGCGGCGTCCCTCTTAAACCCTCTTTAAACGGCTTAAGTTTTGGCAAGTTTCGATGATGGTAGAAATTTTATGATATCAATTGATAATAAAAATTGCCAGTGTGAATTGTTGAAATAATACAACAAATAATATAATACAACTTAATAGTCGAGTATAGGCAGCAGTATCCCTCTTAAAACGTCACTAAAGTCAATCCCGGTTGCAAACTAACACGGAGTTCTAAAACATTTGCACTCTGCGTTTATAAGAACAATACATCGTATTGAAACCCACTCATCCGTATGTGTCGTACTTTTAATGAATTTTCAGCTTAATGTCCTCAAATTGATATCTTCGACTCACGTCTAAATACCTTCAACAACATTTTACAATCAGCCATCAAGTCTCTTTGACATGTCCATATTTTTATTATTTGCATGTGCTTCATTGTTATTTACCACATTCATATGTTTTCTTTATATAATTTATAATTTAACATTGTTTGCCGACTGCTTTAACCATGCTGTGTGTACACTCGTTTGGTTCTCAATCTAGTTTAAACTATTATCTTTATATAAATGTTTATAATGTTATTGATTGTAACCTGTTGTGTATACCTTTTAACAAATAAAAAAATGCACCAGCCAAAGTGGTAACTACTGGCAAAATCACTCTAATAGTAAACTGCCCGTTCCTTATGGCAATCTATGGCGGCGGCCTACGTTCAGCAGTGGACAGGTAACGGTTGGTATAATGAATGAAAAGAAAATATTTCTTAATATAATATTTTTTAACTAAATGATCACATTAATTTTCATCTCTTGTAAACCATACCTGCAAAAAGTCGCATATTCAACTGCCAGTCGCTGCTCCATCTGCTTAAGCGCAGTAGTCTCGCCGCCTACCCAGCGTATCATACGTATATCCTCATTCTCCAAAAACACCCCTAAATCTTCAGGTTTCGGAGTCTGGAACATTTTTTTTAAGGTGAATACCGGACCCTAAGATTTTTTTTTATACCACTGAGGTGGCAAACAAGCATACGGCCCACCTGATGGTAAGCGGTTACCGTAGCCTATGAACGCCTGCAATACCAGAGGTATTACGCGCGCGTTGCCGACCCTGAAGAAACCTCTTTACCCCCTTTTGTCCATTGTCTAGTTTGTCATAAGATGGGATAATCTGTTTTGAGAACCCAGTACCAGGTATCAGGAATTAGTGTGATTTTATGACACTTTGGTACTTTTCATATGTTTTACGTCTAGTAAAAATATCTTCGAATACTTATAATAGGGTAACTCGAAACAGTTGGGAGAAAGGGATTATTAGTAATGGGGTCTAATTGAAACATTGCTAACAATACACCCTATCAGGTCGACCTCCACGCGGTTCCCCCTTGAAAACCGTCATGGTTATTTCTAGTGGAATTCGTCACGATGGGCTAACTGACCTGCCTTTTCATCCTCACCTGTTATCCCTTACTGGTGCCCTGCCAGCGTATCCCGCATAGCACAGGCGGAGTTACCATTCCATTATCACCCATTCAAAAAAAAATCCAAAACAGTTGAACGCAAAATATTCCGATTCAATGAGACCTCGGTCGCATTACTCACCAATGTATTCATGCAACCTGAAGGTCAGTATATGTAGGTTGCAAATAAAATAAATTATAATCACCTTATCAAAGACAGTGAATTCCTCATGAAAGCACTCCGGTAGAATACCAAACTGGACTCCACATAAGTCAGCATTAGGTACCGGGCGCGGGGGGTCTCCAATTGTAGCAACTGTGTGCTGAACAATAAAGAAGACATTTTTGTAAAAACAATAATTGTTCTAACGACTAAGGTCCTTCGGAACACATTAAATCAAATGTGTGGAACTGCAAAGTGGACCGCGAAGTCAATGAAAGTTTCGTAAATTAATTTCATATTTCAACAATTAAGAAAAATATTTTTAAACTCCTAAATTACTGTTAGTCGATTTTTCAATACGGACTGTACCATATTGTGCTCATAGCAGCACCGAAATGAGCGACACCTGATAGCTCGCGAAGTTTAGCAAATAAAAAAAATAATTTTGTAAGTTCCAAAGATAAATTATATGAACTCGAAAGTGACTAACCAGGAACATTTGGTAGGTCAGCGGTGGGATGCCGCCATTGGCTCGTATGACAGTGTCCGGCTCCCATAACGTGTGGGAGACGTGTTCGCGGCAAGAGACCCCGATCTCGCGGCATGCAGCCTTCACACTGTCGTCGCGAGCCCGCCAAACTGGCTCACAATCCTGCTCGAAGCATAACTTGCGAATACCTAGTTTATACAAAAAAATAAAATAATTATATATTTGTTATTTACCACATAAGAAGCGGTGATAAATCAGTTAGAGGAACGCTTCAGTCTGGTCTGAATTGAATTCTAACCCAATATTTTGACTTTTACGTTTAGATACGATTCTCAAATTTGTACTGAAATTGAAACCATACCGTATTGTAGTCATGCAAAAAATTACCTAAATATTACTAACCAAACTCCTCCCACAGCCTCCTTATTACATTTGTGGGTTTTCCCTTGATCATGAACAATCTTCCGCCGTGTCTTTTAAATTGATTGTCCAGATCATCCAATGCTTCTAACAAGTACCTCATACGATTGTAGCCAACTAGCTTAGTACCTGTAAAAGATAAATGTAAAATAATAAAATGGTGATCAAATTTTAAATAACTCGTCTGAGATTTAGTAGTTTTATCTGCCTTTTTTAAAAAGGCAATATTAGTTGATGTGTTTGTTGATTTGTTCTGGCATAGAATATACCACTCTTCCTTTCCCGTGGGTCTTGTAAGAGACGACTAAGGAGGGCGAGGGATGGGCAGCAGCATTCATCCTAAAACATCTCTAAAGCCTAACTGCACTTGCCAATCCACCTGCCAAGCGTGGCAACTATTGGAGCAAAAGCTTGTATTCAGCAGTAAATTATTAAAGGCTGATAAGATGATAAGATGACAACTTGATGTGTTAGTTTGGACATGAAATAAAAAACACTTGTGGTTATATATACAGCAGAGCGTAGCAGAAGCTCCTATCACGAACTACGTGTAACCATTTCAGAAGAGATACTACAGGGCGACTCGAACGATGAAATATTCGGAACAAGTAGCAGTACTGTCACGTTTAAAATCTCTGTAACTCAAAAATTGCAGAGTTCTAATTTATTATCACTACAGAGAAGTGGAGAACCGAGGCACAAATATAAACTAACCAGCAGATTCGCCATCAAAGATGAAGACTGGAAAAAATGGCGCTTTCCTGTCCTCGATAGCGTCATGTAACGATGGATTGTCGTGTAACCGCAGCCCGTGGCGAAACCATAGCACGCTGCCGCCCAACATCGTGAGGGCTGACCAAATTCTGAGAACAAGAAAAATCACTTATTTTCTGTCGCTGCTCTTGCGCTTTTTCAACCGACTTCAAAATAGGAGTAGATTCTTAATTAGTTGTATTTTTTTGGTGTTTGGCACCTCGTAAATAATTCCGTTGTCGGTTTATAAACCGATTTGGAAAATACTTTTTTTTTATTTGAATTTCAGATTGATCATGACGCCCAGTTTCTTCCAGTTGAATTTACCCCATGATAAGAGTTTTTCAAAAACATGTAAAGAGGTTTCTTCGAGGTAGGCAAAGCGTACATATGCCTCTATTACCTACTTATTAAAGTTTCAATAGACTATGGTTTTTGTAATAGGTGAGAATGGAATGGTAACCCCGCTTGCGCTATCGGTATACGCTGGCGGGACACCAGTGAGTGATGATAGGTGAGCATAAAAGCAAGTTAGTCAGAAATCTACTAAATTTTGGACAACAAACAGTGGAAAGTTAACGCCTGATACGGTCAACCAATATTATAAATACTACGTATAAAAATAGCAAATTATAAAAGCAGTCATTTTAACCAGTCATTTATTTTTTTCTTATTTCAAAAAAGTAACACCTGTTTTTCTTGTCTGTTCTTCTCAGCTGAAATTGCATTCCGAACTAGTCGGTAGATTCATAAAAAAAAACTATTCAAAAATGCCTATTATTAAATTTACTTGAATAAAAATTATTTTTATTATAAAGAGGAGTTTTATGAACTTCCAGTTCAAACGGAACTCAAGGAGAGCATTTTACGTCACAGGAACACATACATATATATATATCGTACGTAAGTATATGTTCCACCAACACTTTCAACAGATTTTTTTTTTAATTAGATCCGTTTTATGAATCTGTTCATATTTTTAAATGTAAATTAACTCAAAGACTTGTATGTTAAAATTATATTATTACCTTAGATTTTGTTGCTAAATTTCATGCGTGTTTCCATGGGACTTCATAAATATTTATCTCTATGTTTTAAAAATTGTTAATGGCACTGTTAGGTCTAAACTTGTTCTTAAACTGTAATGTATATTGTTGTTAATTATTTTGTAAATGACTGTTTGTTGCCATAAATAAATAAATAAAATAAAATAAAATATCATTAAAAATTGAAGTAAATTAAAAAAAATATCAAATTAAAATCTTAAAAAATAAGTTAACGCTTCATTTTATTCACCTTACCTTTGATTAAATAAAATCAATTTTACGAATTTAAAATTTTTATATTAAACTAGCTGACCCGTCACACTCCTTTTTGTTTGTCAAAGGAACAGTTCGTATAAAAAAAAGAAATTATTTTTTTTCCTTTTCCCGGGTAACTTTTACATTTTTCTCTTCGTTAGTACCTTTCTTAACAAATAATTGAGAACAAATAATTAGACAAATTTGTCAAGCCGTTCTCTTGTTTTTCGCTTAGCAACACATTTCATTCGCTTTTCATTTTAATGTTGATTTGTTAATGTTCTCCATGACTAGCGATCTCAACCTTGCCCCCCCCCCCGCCCCCCAAGGTTGAGAGTTACGTTTTTTTTTATCCTAACAGGTTGTTAACCCGACTAACATTCTACCATATAAAACCTTTTCAGGATAGTGACACCCCAACACCTAGCGATATGAAATATACTTTACGACCTATTCTCATAACTACTAAATATACATAAAAAAATTCACAAAAATCGGTCGAGCCGTTTTCGAAGATTGCGACCACAAACACCGTGCCAATAAATCTTTAAACATTCCCTTTACTAGAAGTTCCCAAAATTATATTTCTAATTTCATAACAGGTCTTCTGATCTAAGTGATGTATTATATACTAGCAATCCGGCCTGGATTCACACTGATGGATACAATTCTCGAAAATAATATATAGCCCATATTACTTGCTGATAATGTGACTTTACATAGGTGAAAGAATTTTTAAAATCGATTGAGTAGTTTTTGAGTTAATCCATTACAAACGAGCAAACAACTTTCCTCTCTATAATATTAGTATTAGTCCTAGATTATATAGATAGAGTGTCTCCATACAAACGCTTCGAAGAAAACGGGTCAACTTTTTCATACAATTTCGCGTGATAAATAGTTATCGAGTGATTCCTTTATAACTTCTATATTTATTTTGTCTTATAATTTCTGCATCTTTTTAATGCGTAAACGTTCATTTTATTTATTAAATAATACGTCAAGATATTGTACATTTTATGCGTAAGTATATAGATACATACACACTGATAAAAAAAACGAATTACTGATTGTGAAATTAACTGACAAAAAGTTTACCCGTTTTTGAAGCTCGCTATCTATATATTCTAAGATATTAATAGAGAAAAAGGTTTCACAAGCACATTAAAAAAAAATACATCATCGTTAAGTAAACCGTATGCATTGCAAATATATAAATAGTTATTTACAAATTAATTATAAGATAAATATGACGTATAGCTATGATAATTATGCATTACATACTGTGATTATATCTAACTAGATACTAACAAACACTGCAACTGCATAATCTAATGCAAAATATAAAACATTAAATAAGCAAACTAACTTTTAAACACAAATTTGCGCACTTATTTCTTAGATAAATCACTTTCCCTTTAAACTTCTCCTGCTGGTTACTCTGTTTGAGTCATAGATTGCTATTTGCTCTTCTATTACAGTTGTTTTCTAATTGTTTTATATAGTAATATCTTATGTATGTATTTATTGTATGTATATATTTATTTATTTAATATATTAGGTGTACGTTTATATTAGTCTAATTAATTATATGTTTAAATTATATGAATATATCAAGTATTGCTTTATTTTCCACAATTAAATAATGCACCGCCTACGTATTTCTCGGTTTGCCCAATGGTTGACAGGTAGAGAACACCGTCCGCCAAAGTACCTACATAGAATTTTACTGTGCATTAAAATTTTAAATTGTTGCGAGTGTCAATAATAATTCATATGCACTTTCACCAATAACCGAAATTAATGTTGGTAATTTCACATTATCCAATTCAATTCAATTCAATTGAATCCTTTATATTGTTTGCGAGAAAGTACATTTCTAACCGCTCGACGTAAGCAGTCCAGTTGCCCGACTGAATGTCGAAATCTAATATTTTGCCGATCCACATTTCGTGCACACAAGGTTCTACACGTAGTTCGTCACAAACTTCTACTTTAACAGTATAATCTCCAATTTCTTGCATTGAAAATCCTCGTCGCCAATGTAATGAATAAAACACGTCCGTACTCAATTGTATATCTCTTTTTACAAGCTATCAATATCTGACCTACCTACATACAACATTATGAAGTACCCACATTAAATAAAGTTTAAATGAATAAATAAATAAATATTATTTGTACCAATATTTAAGGCTACTGTTTCAAATAACGAAAATATTCTGTCATATTATTTAAATTAAGAAAAAGAATCCTGTCCCGTAACAATACTCTAACAGAAACTCGGACACGGCACGGAAAATTCATATCGTGTGGTTGCCGTAACTATATTAATCTCTATTCAATGTAAAGTCTAAAGATTAATTTAAAACTACATAAAAACATCAACTAGGTGAAACTCACCTTGTTACAAATCACTTTATCACCACACAGCAATAACGAAGCCGAATTAAAAAGTAGCAAAATAAACAACAGTACTCTAAACAATAAGGCACTTTTTAAATGGGTCGCATAAATTCCATTAATATGTACCCACTGTACGGCAGCCGAGCGCAAACTGAAACGGTTTCATAACGACGGCGTTTTACTAACAATTTTCCTTCGGCCAGAGCGTCATGACTTCATAAGTACAGAAGGAGCAACCTTTTAAAGTCAAAGTTTACCAACAAATCCAATCTCGCGATTTTATTAGTATTTCACTTTGATTTGCATTTGTATGTTTTCATCTAATTGCCCTACAGAAAAGAAGCGTGTAGAACTTTTGAACATTGATGATTGTAGACTCAATCGTCATACTCGTGAACAGTTGCTATTGTTTTGTTCTGATTAGGATAACTGATTTACTTTGTACAATATATCTGCATTTTATAATTTACTATAACAAACATAATAATCTTTCTGAAATTAAAATTATTTATAAATTATTTAATACAATAATAATATAAGGGTTCGATTCTTGATTAGGTCACTTCGAACATTATTTGATTTTCAACGAATATATGAATGTTCGTTGTGTTTGCAAGTGCGACTGGGTTTTTGATAGGTGAAAATGGTATGGTAACCCCGCCTGCGCTAACGGGATACGCTGGCGGAGCACCAGTGAAGGGTGATCGATGAGAATGAAAACAGGCCAGTTAGCCCATCATGATGAATTCATCAGGAATTAACCATGATAGTTTCCAGGAGGAACCGCGAGGAGGTCGACCTGGTTGGGTATATTGCTAGCAATGGGATTCTCAGTCTCCACTACTAACAATCCCTTTTCCCCCTAGTGCGACTGGGTATCCTAGTGTAATCAAGCAATCGGAATGGTTGTATTATAGACGTCACAGTATAAACAAGTGTAAAAAAGTGTTAAACAATTATTTTTTTGGCCCATTACTTGTTACACATAGATTTCAAAATTAGGAAAACTAATGAAAAACTTAATTCAAGACGACATATCAAGATATAACAGACACCAGATTTTATGTTAAACCTTCAATATAATGTAGCAGTTTTTGCGTGACAGACAGACGAAATTTGTAATAACTTTCTTAAAGGATGATAATGGAATGGTAACCCCGCCTGCGTTAACGGTATACGCCGACGGGACCCCAGATAAATTCAGAAAAACTTTACTTCAGTTTCGGCTCTGCTGTGACGTCTATGGTCTAACTACTCTTTTTATGACGTAGATGGATTACATAGAACTATACCCGTGTCTTACGACGTAACACCGGACGGTTCTTTATCTACGTCACCAATAATATAAATACCCCACGTCAATCATTGTCAATTCCACACATCTTGACTCAGATTGTTTACTAGCTTTGTGATAATGCTAATCTAAGTATAGAAGGCCAGCCGGGAAGGATATTTTTGTATTATACGAAATATTTGCCCGCTACTTCGTAAGCGTAAATTTTAGAATTACATTATGTTATAGTGTTTTTTTATACAACTTAGAATGGCAAACAAGCTGACGACCCACCTGATGGAAAGTGGTAACCGTCGCCTACAGAGATGAGCAGTACCATGGACATAACAGAGTACACCGTTTACCGCGCATGATACCCCCATGCGTTGCCATTCCTGAGGACTAAGGTGTTATTCCTCCGTACCCAGTAAATTCACGCCATATCTCACCCTTCAAACCGAAACACAGCCATGCAAACACAACTGCTTTACGATTGAAACACGAATAGGACAGAGTATAAATACTTCTTGATAGTTAGCTTTTTTATTGTACCTGTCTGTTACTGAAATTACACCTTATTAAAATTGTCTTGCTACTAAGAACATCGCTCGATTCCTATTGAAAACGGCGCTGGTAGGAGAGGAGGGCAGCTACAATAATAAAATAATATTAAGAGAGGCTTACCAGTATATTTTCTTATGACAATCACAATCTAACAACAATAATAATAATATGTCACTCAAATAGAAAAACAAAATAAGTATCAAAAGACATATTCATAATATAAAAATATAATACTAAAAAGGTAAATTATATAAAAAGAGGTCTGTCGCCAACATGGCACGCCCCGGTGCAGAGCACCAATCTAAGGAGGCGACAAAAGCAATATCACCATGTCAATCGGACTTCCATCTTGTTGTTGTGGTGACGGTACAAATCTGTGTCGGTATGGGGCGAACAGCTTCAGTCGACGGAGTATCCAACAGCAAATGAAACACTGTGAGAACTGGCGGCTTCTCAAAATCTGCTGGGACTGGACGTGGATTTATTAGCACCTCTGCTTCTAGTAGTAGAATTAGGTGTACTTCTTCCGTTGGTGCTTTCTGTAGCAAAGTTATGGAAAAAGTATCCTTGATAAATCTGAAAAGACGTCCCCAGGAGCCACTCATTGATAGTGCTGTTGGACTCAATCATCATTCATCAATCTTGTTGTTGGCTGTAAAAACAAAGACCTTGGCAAGTTGGTTCGCTGCACCGACAAAAACCGTTAACCGTTTCGGAAACAATCTTCGACGGGCGATAAATCTTCTAAGATTATGTCGACAGCATCCACTGAAAAGCATCTCATGATTTCCAGGTAAACAGCTCGGGCGGTGAAACATGTAAACACAGCTACCTAGCACGTTTCTCGCTTGCATCTAATAGTAACCTCCACCGGGGCAAAGTTATAGAGACCGGTAAAAAAGAACGCCGATGATGCGATAACTTATCACCGAGAAGGTCACCAAATTGTGTCGCAGACGGGAGAAGCTTTATAACTATGCAAAAAACTACATTATTTGGCAACAGACCTGATGTTAGAACACTGCATGGGAGGTTCTAAAATTATACCTACAATATTAAACATTAACAAAATATTAAACATTTACAATAAAATATTAAACATTTACAATAAAATTATACAAATTCTTCGATTCAAATGGATAGAATCATCCTCTCCCAACATCAAGATTAGGTTTTTAAGCCTTCTTGATTGGTTGAGAAAAGACCTGCTGTAAAAAAGTGCTTTTCAGCCTCCGAAATTTCTTTATTTAAAAGAGGAGACAAAATTTCGGAAGAATCCTCGGAGGCGGCGCTTTATAATTTTTAAATTTGGAGGTTTTTCTAATAAAAAATGAAAATTCTTGGCAATAATGTGCACGAACAGTTGTCCTAATCAACAGAATTCATCGATCGAAATGATTAGGATTCGCGACCACCGGAGATGTTAGTGTCGTTGGCTTGTAGTGCCAATGACATCTATATCAAAAAACTTTCGATGGTGTGCTTCCACGATATAAGTTGAAAATCGAGTAGCCATGTTAGCCGTCTGTAGCTCCAATTGTCTACGTGTGCCACAGTCATAGAGGCAAGTTCACCCTCTACTTTTTTCTTACCTCTTGGTGGCATCGAAAGGCATTGGATAGAATTAGGTCGGCTACGAGGCAACTCGTGATAGAAATTTCCACTAAAGTAAATTTTATTTTTAACCCAATGCCATCTATCGTTTACAGTAGAAATTTTGAATAAGTCAGTAGCTACGATAGATGACACTACCTTACCTTTTGGGGAGATAGTGGTATAACATACGCCATCGTTGACGTATTTCAATAACTCTGGGTAGGGGAGGAACTTCACAGAAACTAACATATTTATTGTGGGAACACAGTTGTGTACCACACAAGCTAACTGGTGTAGTTCCTTACCGTCAGATGCAAGCAGCTTGGTCATGTCTTTCGCTTGTGATACTAGTTGACGTATCAGAAGGTCAGTCTGACCAAACTGCTCTTGTAGAGCCACCATGACCTCTTCTGGGTCTTGTGACAAAGCCAGAAGAGAAATAACAACGTCACGAGCGGTTCCACGGAGAGCAGAGAGAGAGCTCGACAGACCTATGCTTTCCGTCGCCATGAACAAATGTTTGGAATTTAAAAATGATGATTTGAATAATAATAATAGCCAATGGGAAGGCGGCGAACCAGTAAACATAGGTAGACTAACTACTACATTACCTGAATTAGGGTTTCCGTTGTTCCCACGAGCGACATCAGTAAGCTCAGCCAACTTCAAGAAATCACTGGGTTGATGATGAAGAGTGTTAAAGGCTATGAGCTTATTTTTATTTTGTGTACAATCAAATGATATGTTTTGTGTACCTAAAGTGTGTTTACGTGTATGGGATTTATGAATAGGCGGCATCGGCGACTTGAAGTGGAGTTCGTGGGCTTCGTTGAAGGCTTTCGACGAAGCAACAGCGTCTGGCTGCTGCGCTCCATAGTCGCAGTGCTGAGAGGATGTCATGCCGTGGACATTTGAAGATTCAAGGGTAGTTAGGGCCGGCGCGGTAACAGGCGCAGACTCGCGCACCACGGCTGAAACGCCAGCGGTGCCAGGCGAGTATTCATGCGCGCGCCCGACCAATTTCAGTACCTTATGCGCCTCCAATGCCGACTGAACAGGCGCGAAAGAAGGCACGTGCTCGCGCGCTGCGACACCAGCCATACCGGTGGCGCAAACGCCAGGCGAGACCACGGGCTCGCGTTCTGTGGCCAGCACTGAGTTGATCTGTCTCTCAGATAAAGAATCGTTAGAATAGGTCACCCATTTTTCTATTCTAGAGTTTTTAGACGATTGTGAGTGTATACTGGCGGCCTCATCAATAGCCGCTAATTCAGCCTCTAGTTCTAGAGTCGCTACAATACGCTCCCGCTGAGCTGCAGCGCGTTCCCGCTCAGCTGCAGCGCGTTCCCGCTCAACTGCAGCGCGTTCCCGCTCAGTTGCGGCGCGGTCAAGATTGGCCTCTAATTCGGCTAAGCGACGTGCATGTAATGCTTTCGCGGCAAGTCGTTGCGTTTGAATAGAGGTCGATGAGCGATGTGGACTATGACGCGAACTAGGAATATTAATATTATGAGAAACACCGGCGGATACCTCTGAGGGAGGAACGAATAAATCCGCTAGGGCGCTTTGTGCCGCTGCCATACCTCTTGTGAGAACCATTTGAAAAAATGTTTATAATTTCAAATTTTTTTTTTAAATATATATCTAATAATTTTACCGGGAGAAGGACCAATGAAAACGGCGCTGGTAGGAGAAGAGGGCAGCGACAATAATAAAATAATATTAAGAGAGGC